CCTCCCCCCCCCCCCCCCCCCCAGACAGATCCACAGCCCTTCGGGGCGGTAAAAAGAGAGAAAGAGAGAGAGGGGCGGGGGGTAGGAGAGAGAGAGAGGGGGGGGGGAGGAGGAGGTAGAGACAGAGAGAGAAAAGGGGTTAGAGAGAGGAGGGATTACAGAGAGAGAGCGATCCAGGGAGAGAGAGAGAGAGACAGACAAAGAGAGAGAAAGAGAGAGAGAGAGAGGGAGACAGAGACAGAGAGAGAGAGAAAGGGGGGAGGTAAGAGAGAGAGAGAGAGAGGAGTGATGAGAGAGAGATTATAATATATATTTATATTATACAGAGAGAGAGGAGAGGAGGGGTTAGAGAGGCGGGGACGAAAGAGAATATTTCTTTCAAGACGAATGGGTCGTTCACAACGCCTTCTCTTATTAGTCTTAACTGTAATAAAGGAGGCGTTCGTGGGGCAGTTTGCGTTCCCACACACGAACAAGTTGAACAGTTTTATTTTACTACATGTACTTCGTCCATCCCCGTCCTACGCTGTACAAACACTCAAAGGCCAACACTCCCCTCCCTCTCTCTCTCTCTCTCTCTCTCTCTCTCTCTCTCTCTCTCTCTCTTTCACACACACACACACACACACACACACACACACACACACACACACACACACACACACACACACACACACACACACACACACACACGGGGGGGGGGACAAAAAAAAACAACAACGTTGTCTTCCTGGCTATGTTAGTCCACGCTTTTTTGTGACGCCTCGTTTACAGTCCACGCTTTTTTGTGACGCCTCGTTTACAGTACTCAACTTTTAAAAAAGTGACTGATGAGTAGAATTCGGAGATCCAACAGCCAATCAGCAGACAGCTGCTTGGTGAATACAATTCAGTTCGTGCTCTCTTAGGGCACTTTGAGGAGAAATTAATCAGTTCGAAGCTGGCGACATTTCAGGTACTTGTGATTCCAGTAGTAAAACTACATTGGACACTGCCTTCCCGTCTGCTGTGCTAATGAAACCGAGGCGATCAGGCGACACATAGAGATTTAGATTCCATTATATCTTAGCAAATATTCAGGTATGTTCTTTGTTTTTGTATTTCTTGATATTGAACCGTATTCCAATTCTTATTATCAAGTCCTCATTCTTCGTCTCTCCCCATTCCTCCTCATCGTATTATTGTGCGTACTGAAAGGTCATTTCATTCCCCTTTCCCCATTTTGGGCTAGTTCCGTTGTTTCTCTCTCACTTGTATTTCCTGTGCACTCTTTCTACTCAAACTGCACCCCCCCCCCCTTAACCCCTTCCTCCTAGTTCCTTCAGATTTAGTAATTTATATTTTCAGTATTCCACATCCAGCAACCACCCTTGCGACGTTTAATTTAAGCCAGAGCAATCTCTCTCTCTCTCTCTCTCTCTCTCTCTCTCTCTCTCTCTCTCTCTCTCTCTTTCTCTCTCTCTTTCTCTCTCTCTCTTTCTCTCTCTCTCTTTCTCTCTCTCTTTCTCTCTCTCTTTCTCTCTCTCTCTCTCTCTCTCTCTCTCTCTCTCTCTCTCTCTCTCTCTCTCTCTCTCTCTCTCCCCGTATTAGGACATTAACTCAATTACTACTTTAGAAATTAAAAAGTACCAATAATTGGTGAGTTTTTAATTCAACTTCAAATTACATGTTTGTATTTAGGTGTCTCTAAAAAAATGCCCCTGGTCATGTCGAGTAATGAGTCTAAAATTAACCTAAGACCTGAATATTTGCTGGTTAAATCAATTCAACTGAGAA